TTCGCGTTCCGTATATTATTATGTAAGTATATTTTAATTATATTAAGTTAACCTAAAATACCTAGTTTATCGACAAAGACCATTTTGAAGAATATAAAATAATGTTTAAAGAAACAAAAAGTTTATGACAATTTTAGATTCTTTATGAGATGGCTATATTTATAAAATTTTATAACCTGAAATTATTTTCTCATAGATTTGCAATAGAGAAACAAGATAGTGTTCCCTTTTCGAAGGAGTTTTAGTTTCCATAGATATTATTAATGTTAATATGGATGAACAACGAAATCTTCTTTATTTATATTCCTCAAATTAATCTTCGTAAATATAATAGGACCATTACAAGATATTTATATACTAATTAGAGTAAATAGATACATCATAATGTTCACCTAAACATATTCTGTAGTTTTATTCTGTATGGATTTATATTCTGTAGTCCAACAGTGACCTGTTGTTGATGATGACGACAATTATTGTCGTGTGGTTCTACAGAACTGTTTAAGATGAACTTCTTAACATAATTAATAAATACGTGTGCGTATTCAATAAGGCTATTTTTTTTAAATAAATTAACTTTATAAATACACAAATAAAACTAGAAGGATTTGATTTTGTGAATTTCGCTCGTTTCGTTTTAAACTAAAAAATAACTACCTTTTGAAGTATTTTAAATTAGATAATAGTGTGCTATTATTAGTCGAATTAACTTTATATTACCTAATATTATTTAGTTTATGTATCTACACTACTTTTTTAAAAGTGTTTTCTGAGATCATAATTTTCGTATATACAACTTACGCAACTAGAATACATCTAACTTAACTAATATAGAAAAATATATATCTATATATAAACTCCGTTATAATAATTTTTTCGACATTAAATTACAACTACTTGTTTACTGGTTCATACTTCCTTATTCGAACATTATATTTACATATTTTCTGTTCGTTGACACTTATAACTATTTCGACATACTCCCATTGTTTTAATTATACAACTTATTTTACTAACTTATATAAATATACTAATTTAAATCTAAGTAATTCATATGATTAGCCTGAGTACTGGTTTCCCAATATTTACAGAAATAATATGGAGTTGTTACTCATTAAAGTTTGACGCACTAAAGCTGATCTCAATCTATTTGTAGACATATTTCTTTCTTTGCTCGTCGTATACCTACTACGTGAAGTTAAGCACAAACATAACCATTATGTTGATTGTTCTTTTTGTTGATCTCAATGTAAATTATTGCAGTAATGCATGTATTTCTATTGCAAGGAGGATACTTTGTTTTCTAACCATTTTGAAAACGCAAATCGCTTAACTAAATAGCAAGTTTAATCCTGTTATTTTTGAGATGTTAGATTTTTAAATGATTTTTTAACATGAAACAAGTATGTCTACGAAATAGTTTTAAAAATCAGCCATTGTGTGCCAAATGCCTTAGATTCTAAGTTTTATTCTAATACATGTTACTTATGACGCGTTTAGTTACTCTGTTCGTGATCTTCTTGGTGGTAAAGAGTATGATCATGGGCACTATGTTGAACTACTAGGGATAATAATATTATTCACTTATCGATATAAATATATCATTTCCGCAAAATTTGCTTCGAACGTCAATATCTTGAGATATTGGTAAAGTGAATATTTATTCTATAAATCGGCGATGAAGCACCATAGTTAATGTTTTATTATAATTTTCCGTAAGTTGCATAAGCAGACTATTTCACTAAAGCACGCCATAAGTAACAACTGAACCTAATTAAACTATGTTAAGTATATTTTATTTAAGAAATAAACATGCCATTTATAATTTTGAATTAATAATATATTATCTAAAGCAATAAGAATATTTCCAATTTAGATATTTAATAAAATAATGGATAGACGTTTAATTTTTTTTTTAGTTCAGTATAAATTTCGTGAAGCCAAAAATACAGGTTGATATTTATTCCACGCTATAAAATAGGATGGCATTTAAAAGAAAAATGTTAAAACTGTTTTATTATATTTATAAATATTTAACATACTACTTTTTAGTGAGATTTGTGATCGTTCCCTTTTAGGATATTTACATAGTTATAAAATTATATTATGTCTAACCTAATGTCTAAAGTTACACCTACTTTCAACGTTTTCATGGGACCATTTTATCTCTTTGAAATATATTTACATTTGCGAAGATTTCTTCGACTTATTTAAACCTAATTTTTGCTCATTTGTGAACCATGGGTTTTTATTATATTAAAGTTATCTATAATTAATATTACCTAGGTACAGGATTACTTTTAATACAAGTAAAGAATGGTTAATTTTAGTATTTTATTGTTATTATTCTGCTAGTTTGTTTTGATTCTCTTGGTATGTTGACTTATAGAAGTATTAGTAGATGCTGCTATAATTCTATTATTAATTTAGTTCAGTTGTCGTTGCTAACTTTTCTTATTTCAAAGCACTAAAAGTCACCCTGTACATTTTTTTATATTTTCCGTTTTTTGTTTTTTTTTTTCATAATTTTTGTTCGTTTTATACAAATATATATGATTTACTTATACTGTATATAATATACCTAACAGATGCTTTGTTTTGCCACCAATATAATATACATTTCACGCATCATCCAAACCTGGAACAAGTAGACTAAATCATACAAATACTTGTTCCATGCGGGAATCGAACCCGCGACACGTGAATTCCTTAAACTAGTTTCATTATTAATCAACTGCGGTGTATCCGTAGGATAGATGGAATAAATTCTTAAATATAGCACTTTACGTCTATTTAAATAGAGTTAATATTGTAAGGTGTTATACTGCGCCTCTCATTGCTAATAATTTTAAATGGACGCAAACTCGAAGTATATCGAAGCTAAAATCCATAGAAATCACACGCCGTGCAGATTCGCCCGCGTCTTTTCAAATCTCCTGAGTAATCTGTGCATTTCGCTATGGAGAAAAAGTTAATTTTACCTGAATTTAGCTTCGATGCACTTCGACTATGCGACTAACTAATTATATTACTTATAAATTACATATACTTATAATTATAAAACTACTTAAACTATACATACTATTTTTATACGACTCTCTGTTACAACTTAATAGGAACGCGACAATATATACAAAATGGTCGCGTCCAGAACCTACTCATTATGAACATGCTGCCCCTTATTCTACGAACTTTTACATTCGTTTAAAAACAAAATTAAATTCAGTAATCACTAAGTAATTACTTATTGAAAGTAAACGAAACTTAATCTAATATATTCTCTTTTATACTAGGTTTTTTATTACCTAATTTAGACAAGAGCATTCGTAAGTTAATTTCTTTACTTATAAGACAAAATAATGATTTACTGTTGGGATTATACTATTTTGTTTCAAGTTCTTTCCTTATTCCCTTATCTTAGTCCCTACTACAGCGATAAAGTTATGTCCGACCAGAGTATGTTTTTTAAGGGAATCGAATGCGCTTTTTGCGCAGTAGCTGGTTGTTCAGCCATTATGCCGAAAATGTAGTACTCACGTTACAATTTTTGTAACAAATAAGTAGTTGTCATTGGAGATTGTCAAGTTGATTTCAACTGTATTTTAATAGGTCTAAGGTTAACTTCAACGCGAGCGGGACATAATGTTTTAAATTGTCATAGAGGTTTAACTTACGAATGTTCTAGCTTCTGTACCTATTTTAATAACTAGATCTATGTAACCTATTTCGCGATTGAATTTACAAAATATTCGCGTCTCTTTAAACTAATTTTTGTAGCAGTGTTGCCAAGATAATAAGTTATTTAGTTACGCAAGTTCAATATTTTTTCTAGGCGAAAATATATTGAATTTACATAACATTTTTATAACGAATGATAATGTATAAAGTCCTACTTTATTAGTGGTTTTTAAAAAGTTGAATTTATGTAAAAACCAGTTGACAATGTAATATTAAACGAAATTAAGTATCCTGAAATACATTGTTCTTACATAATTGAACTCAACGAAAGAATGTAACCAAAAATTGTATTGTGAACATGATTGAAAAAAAGTAACCTATGGAGTTTCTTGCTCGTTCTTCTCGATAGGAATCTACACTTTGGAACGAGCAAATAGCTTCACTAGAGGACTGACCTACATACTGACATTTTTTCTTATTATTTAATAATTAAATATTTTATGTTTGACGTTCAAAAGTGCCTTCCTGGTCTAATTGAAATAAATGATTTTGACTTTGACTTTGAAAATCAATGACTGCCTTGAACTGTAATCAAATAAAATTCTAAATATTAAGGAACCATGTAGAAATCAAAGCCAATATTCTTGTATTTCCTTGTTTGACTTTAGGAACTGATTTTGACGGACTGATAGTAGTAATGTAATGTTTAGTTTACGTTTTCAATTATAAGTCACTTATAAAGTAGGAATTTACACAGCCTATATCTATTATAACCTAAACTTATATAAACGGCCATGTTGGCGCACTACTCGCACTACTTATTAAATGGTCTGACATATTGACTCGCGGTTTTAATGTACAATTTTACGCGTTGTATGAACTTATGTTAATTTATGAACTACTTTCCTTTGCACATTCAACATATTTTTTATTGAAATTTGTTGAATGTGTATAGAGGATGATGTTAATACTAATGTAGGCTATTTTTATAGAAACTGTAAGTGTTTTAAGGACAACGTATTGAAGTTTTGTATATTTGGAAAGAGCAAAGTATGAACAGACTGATTATTTAACTTATTACTGAACTGTCGTCCTTATATTCGCAATGGCATTATTCGGCTGGTAAGTTGTGAATTTCTATAATAGCTTTTCAATCTTATCCGTTTGCTATAAAATTGAAAATCTATTAATGAGCATTCTGACTTATCGACCGAAATACTGTTGAGAATCTTTTCATGTTTATATTTTTTTTAATCAAATAATTATTTTATGAAAATGTATTTAATTTTAAGATAGGTATTAATCAGAATATACGTTACTATTAGAGTCTCCCAAGCTTCTATAAAAATAGTCTATAACAACTTAATGTATTGAATATTTATAATCCTACTTTATTTCCGTTCTCTGAAGCACTCTTTTCATCTATATACAAGATACTTATAAATAATTCTAGTAAAGAAAGCTATATACAGACTGAGAAGTCAAAAAATTAGTTGTTAATCACTCCGCTAGGCGGCGCTAGTTTTGTGTCAAGATATCTCAGTTTCGTTTAGAATTCAGATAGATTTTCATGGATGATATGAAGTTGAATAAGTTGACGTTTCCGTAAAATACATTCTGATTTTAGCAATTTAGGTTTGTCAGAATCGTAGTAATTGGCATTCCTTAGTCTTTGCCTACCCCCATGGTAGACAGGCGTGAAGTTATGTAAGTATTTTAGCAATTTCTATTTTTGGCTCTAACTTCAAAATACCGACACAAGAAATTACACCAGTCATTTTTAACGTACCATTTGACTTAACCATAAATAAAACGGTGCCATCTAGCGGGTGTTTTTTTTAAATATTATTAAAACCCAGTTACCATTTTTACCCTTTAATTTTGTTAACCAATTTGAACCTTTTTATAACAGTTTAGCGTAATATAATTCATTTTATACACAAATGTATAAAACTTGCCAATTCTTACGTCATAATTACCCATTCCTTGATAACAACTGTCGTCAATTCCATTAAAACATAATCGTTGAACATAATTAAAATTAAAACTGAAACGTTTGTACTATACAACTAAAGGACAAATGCAAAATATCGAAAAACCGTTTTTAGAACGCAAAGTCAATAGACGTCATTTATACAATACCAGCAATATCACTTACGCTCAGAATAAGATCTGTTTTTGCGTATCAAAAACCAACACCACATAGATAATATTAAAACCTCTTTCAAACTTTACTACAGTAACGATGTTAATTTCTGTCAAAATAGTAAACAGTTTTGTTGCCCACTGTACTTAAATGTCACTACTGTCACTATGAAATCACAGATGATAAAAAAAAATTTTTTTTTTACACTACGATGGTGGCAAAGAAGCTCACGGCCCACCTGATGGTAAGTGATTTCCGTGGCCTATGAATGCTTACACCACTTGAGGCATTACATACCGACCCTTAAAAACCCATTTAAGATGGTACATTCCAAAGCTAATTGACGTCTATTTACTTCGTGAATTTCTTATATTCTCGTCCATATTTTAAAACTTACATTAATAATAACTTAGGGCGGTATCAAATTAGCGTATTTTCTGCGTTTCAGCATACGCGCTTACGGCGTTTGCGTTCGAACCGGTAGTAGTGGTTCATGGCTCATACGAGCTTAGAAGCGAACGCTCGTACTAGTCGCACGTATGACAAAAGGTGGGTCTACAGGGTAAAGCTTCCAAAAACGAGCTAATACGAGCGTACAAAACGTTATTCTGAAACCGCTCTTAATCGCCACGTAGATTGCCGTAGTGAAGGATTTGCCTCCAAGTTTTCATACGGCGATTAAAGTATTAAAATTATGTAGATAGCGTTACTTCGCGCGACCTATTTAGCATATAATGCGATACATTCTCATAAGTTAAGAAGGTTACCATCGTGGCTGGTAATACACGAACTATACTCGGCTTGAGCCCCTTGTAGAAACCACGCCAGCCTTCATGTCTGCAAAACGTGAAAATTTTAATTAGAACTTGAGTGAAACGGTACAAGGAATAATTGTACTTACCTTATTTGGTTTAGTTTATTTAGTCACTTTTTAAACGTGGGCATTTGATTTAGGTATTGAAATTACTTTTGAACTACTGATTACTCAATATTATCACTTCCAATTTGCAGTTGAGTTGTTTTTACTAAAAATCTTTGTACGCGAATAAATTAAGATTCATATTAAACATTTATTTATATATATATAGCAAAATCGCGAAGGTAAATTAAAACTAAGAATATTATCACGAATTTGAAATAAACAATAAAATAACAAACTCAATCAATTTGCTATCATTTATTGATTAAACAAATTGAATAGGCGAATTGAACAATTGAACTTGAGTGATTATATAAAAATATAATAGTTATAGTAAATTGATTATTTTATATGTCTTACAAAAATTGCTATGTGGCCAGCCACCGAATAAGACAATTCTAATCATAACAGATCGGTGACAACGCTTTAGATACGTTTACAGATACCATTACTTGAAACACACATCCCTTATATATTTTTAAATAATACGGCTTGAACAATGTTTTACATTTTTACACATGTCGAAATACAGTTATTATTTTTTGTAATCATCTTCTTGTCATCTTAACACTCCTTGAGACATTCTTGTTACTGTTCAAGCCTTGACAATTAAAAGTACATCGATATAAACCATCATAATACTATCCAAAATATAAGCACATAATAAATAAAACATTAAAAACCTTATTTTCGGTTCGCTTAATCTACGTCAACTTCATAAGAACGCATATAATATGACGCATAATAAATTAATATACAAAACAGCAAAAAACGGACAAAAAGCAATATTTTCGTGTACAGTCACTTGCATAAATGGTACCTTTTTATTATTTCTCCTAAATTCCAATAAATGAACAACTGAGAAAATTCTCTATAAATAATCAGATTTCTTTTTATTGCAAGTAACTGTACGTAAGCAACTGACATATTTGACAGTTATGGGCCTGTCATTTTGACGTAATCATACGACACTGTCTAAATACATCATTTGCTAATGTTGCCTTGCGAAAAACTTTTGGCTTACTTAACACTAATTAGACATGTCTACTTACTACGTTTGGGAACTAAAAATTATAAAGCCAAGCAAAAAGTTTATCGCAAACTATTTTATTTCATCATTCCTATCTATAAACGAATCTTTAGCGTTGAAACCACACATTAAAACAACATAATGATTTCAGATTACTTATTTAATCACATATTATTTGGTGTATGTATTTTTCGATTCACACATGTCATAATATTCTCATCATCATCATCATAATATATAAATATTTATCGATAACTGTGATATTTTTAATCAAGTCGTCTAAATTTTTATATAAAGTCGTCACTAAGTGAATCTTGTGTTGAAATAAATAGAGTATTTATTTATAATTACAATGTCCCTACTTATTATAAATGTTTAACGAGCTACTGCTGTGCGTGATTGTACTACACTTTGCTACACGAATAGGGGATGACCAATTTTTTTTGTTTTTTTTTTTATTTTCTTTTATTGGAGATGATAATTTTGACTTACAACGAAGGCGGGTTACATTTAATATTTAGATTAAGACAGATTAGCTTCATACTTGCATAACATTAGATTTGAGAACAATATGTTTATATTTTTTTGTTTTTTTTTTGTCATATGCATAAGAGCAAGCTGAAACGAAACTATCTTACGTAATAAAGAAACCTAACGTCGTCTCACCACACATGTAACGTTATCTCAAAATCAAAATCTTGTCTTTTTACTTTTAAATGTTAAATACTTCGGGAAGCGCGACAGTTTAAGTACATACCCTATTATCACAAAAAATTGATAAATTAAAACTAAATTGTGCTACAGCTGGCAACATTCCTTATCGAGGTGTTGCCAGATTTAAAATTAAGTCAGTCACTATCTGATGGGAAAGAGTACGACTACTATTTACAAGAGATTACTATGTTAGAAAAATAAATAAATAAAAACAAAAACACAACATATGTCGTGAGACAGATTTTACATTTTAATAAAAAAATATTTTTGTAGTACAGTCGGCAACACAAACACGTGATCATCAAAATCAGACTTGTGTATTTTTGATTGTCATTTTCTATTCTTTTGATGATTTATTATGAATTCGGATTGGTTTCTGTAAAGTCAAGCTTGTGTTACGAACTGTACAACAAAACTTTAAAAATAATTTTATAGGTACATAGGTTTACAATTCTCAAACATTTTCACACTCATTATATTATTTTAAAATACATATCAATCACTATTAAAATTACGAAATTCCGTTTGAATTCGTGCCAACTACGGTTCCTTTAGTGGCAACTATGCCAAAACTGTTAAAGTCATAACTATTTTTAGCGAAACGTCAACTAGAATGCGGGTAACTAGTAAAAACACAACTGTCAAAAGTCACGTGAATGTTAGTTAATATACAATACAAACAAAAAAATGCATAATCATACAAATACAGACTATAGTACTAAACAATAAATTATCCCGCTTAAAACTAAACGCTTACCTTAAACACTCCATAGACAAACGAAACGAAAAAACTAAACGTAAATCGGCGGTAAACCCTGCGATCGAACTGTCAAAAATATTAAAAAATAAAATGAAAATAAATAGTTGTGTACGCGATTTCCCATCAGATGACATTAAGACTCAATCGTTATTGGTGAATTTCTCCCATATGAGCATAACTAGGCATATATTAGGCGTTACATGTAGGAGGTACGGCGTTAGGCCTTTGTAGAAGCCTCTGATTCGTTCGTACCTCCATGTCTCGTTGATGCAGTGCCAGGCGCCGTCGTAGCTGCGGTGCTGGTCCTGCAGGCGCGCACGCACCACTTGGTACGGGTATGTCGCGCCCGCGGCTATCAGCTTAGAGATCGCAGCGAACGTTAGGTACTCCACTGACGTCTGTGAATTCAAAAAATGACGTGTTATTTTAATTATTATAATAGGTAAGAACATTTAAGTCTAAAGATACGAATCTGAACCAAGCCCTCTGAAAATTCAAACATCCTCAAAAAATTTGAGAAATACAACTTAGTTTTTCTTTGTTGCCTTTGGTTCAGTGTAACTGATTGCAAAAAAAACAAAACATTAATATACTTGATGACATATAAAACGTGTTTTGGTTTTTGAATTTGACGCATTTACAAGTACAAACAAAACATTATGAATGAAGTAAACATTTTATACATCAAAACACTTATATCCTTATTGTTTTCCAAAATCTGTGAAGTTTAAATCCTCCATTTTCCTTTTAAAAACATCTCAAATGTATGCAGACGAAAAAACAAAGTATTTCTTTGGAATAGGTAAAAAAAAGGCAAAATGCAACTGCAGAACATATAAAAATGATGTCGATTAGCCATATCAACTTTCTGGAGCGCATACACAAAGTTATAAACCCATCTGCCTAAAAAAAATTAAAATACAGGTAGTCAGTGCACCATTTCAATATACAATGTGTGCATATAAAATCACAAATAAATTGAATGATGACTTGTAAGTGTATATTGATTAATGTCTAAAAAGGCAGGAAGTCAATTTATTACCGTTTCAAATGTAGATTCATCCAGAATAAACTGGTACCAATTGTCATGTCTGACCGTCATGTTAAAGATGTCAGAAATCAACTAAATTATTACAATGACTAGTCTCGAATCTCTATTCTGAATATTTACAAGTAACGTATCCCTTTTATCAAGATCTCTAACACTAATGTCATAGCTAAGAAATGTTTGATAAATAAGTCAGAAAACACTGATAAATAAATAAGGAAATACATTCCTCGTGTTTTCAAATGATTCTACTAGTATTTTTTAGCAAATTCTAAGATTTATCGCCCCTTAATGAGCGGTATTTCTTTCTGCCATTATAATATCTCATGTTGCCTTGGGACTGCGCATTGTCCTTTTTCATCTATATACATATATAAAAATGAATCCCTTTTTCCCTTGGTCCACGGTATCTCGCGTGAATGGCTGTACCGATTTCACTAATTCTTTTTTGTTGTTCTTAAGTCCTAAGAAGTCTTAAGAGACAGAAAAATTCCTGAAAATCCTACGGGAACGGGAGAAAACGGGATTGCGCGTACGAAGTTGCAGAAGCTAGCTCTAAATAATATTTCACACGAAAACTGCTGAACTGAAATCCTCTGCTGACATAGGTCGCCAGAGGCCTAAGTAGCGACTTGGATGTTAAGAAGGCAGTCGTGTAGTAATTACACACCTTTAATCGACAAACCAATCAAAACACGTGGAGAAAAACATGACTAACTTAACACAAAACATTAAGTTAATATACCTAACGATTAAACCTATAAATAATTTGCATTTCCATTGTTATTAATCAATGCAAGAACAGCATATGAGGACAATGTCATGGCAATAATGGTTGGGCATACGACTTTGGCCTTGAACATTTACAAACAGATATGGTAATTATTATTAGTGACAGTTTTCCTGTTACAAACGTTTTACTAAATTATGGGAGTAATTTCGTGAAATGGCGGACTATTTTGATGAGAATCATGTTGAAAACTTCACGTTGAATATTTGTTTTATGTGTCATTAAACCTCTCTAATCGTGTTTGTGCTATGAGCTCAATGATATACTCTAGTAGATCCAAGTGAACGGAAAACCTAATGTTTAATAATGTATGGTATTGACACTGACATTTGATAATTAATTATGTCAAGCTTGTACGTACAGTCGACAAATTCAATTCTTGACCATACTAAAGTAGCATTTTGTGAATTTTTTACTATTCACTCGAATTTATTAAATTTTATGACGTTATTCCATGGGTGATTCGAGTTTAATAAATTACAAACAATTTTTTTAACACGTTTTAGTTATTTAAGTGAGGGAGAGCCATGCTTCGGCACTAATGGGCCGGCTTGACCGGAGTGATACCACGGCTTCACAGAAAACCGACGTGAAGCAACGCTTGCGTTGTGTTTCATCGTGTGAGTGAGGTTACCGGAGGCCCAATTACCCTCCCCTTCCCCAATCTTCCCAATTGCTGAATCCCCAACGATCCTCGAACTTCTAATCCCAAAACGCCGGTAACGCGCTTGTAACGTCGCTGGTGTTCCAAGTGTCCATGGGCGACGGCGATTGCTTACCATCTGGTGATCCGTATGCTCGTTTACCGGCTTATGCCATAAAAAAAATGGTTAATTACTATAAACTGGACTTACCAATTTGATGTCAATCGGCAGATTCCTGTACTGGTTGTACCTATTCTTCATCTCTTCGTACGTCATGAACTGCAGCGCACCATGAGACACGCCAAACATACCGGGAACGAAGCCCTGGAAAATACAGAAAATAATTTTATTAACATCATTTCGTTAAGAACACCCTGTGACTTCTGGATTCCTGAAAAAAATAATTATCTTACATAGGAATCTAATTAGTTGGAATTAGGCACAATATTGATATTATTTATCAAAATACGATAAAAATACTCAATACAGAACAATATTTATGAAAAATATCATACACTCCCACAGTCGACCATTCTGGATTGTTCAGACAAAGGACGCGTATGGAAAAGCCACCCCCGACATTAATTCACGGTAAAAACCAATAAATAAAACATCGAACCTGTTATTCGTCCATAGGGTGTCATTTTTCACATTATTATAAGCACTCACGATAAAGAAAAACCATTAAATTTAACATTCATGGCGACTATAACGCGATTCACGCTGTAGTCGCCATGATTGTGAGGAGATGAAAAATCGATACCCGCCGTCTAGAGGGTTGCGCTCTGTTACACGTGCAAAATTTATGGCTGTTTCTGAACTTTTCATTGCTGGCGTATGGAAAACTCGAGTTATCGAATAAATATATTTTAATTAACTAACATTCAAATTCATTTATTTTATTGGAAAGAGTTTTGTATAAGTATTTTAGTCAGTGTAGCGTATATACGCTACTTCTACTCAATATTTATTAACAAGGCAATTATTAACCCTTCTCCTATTTCTGGATTAGCGACGGTATATTATTGAGATTTAAAAATACGTGTGTATGGACTAAAACTGACACACATAAAAATTAATGAATGATATTTAAACATTTGTATGCCTATTTTTGTAAAACTTCGTGTTCTATAACATTGTCACAGCCCGGGTATTGACTCGCAACCAATCTTTCGAGCCAAGGTCACATCAATCATGTGCCATGTAAAAAAACTAGAATATCATATTGCATTGTATTATACATTTGTACGTCACACAGAATTGATGAAAATTAGTCCGTTCCTGTTTGTGTTTGATGTATGTGAGAATATGTATTGAATGAACAGTTCAAATAACCTACTTATTTAAGAAATATATTAATTTAATAAAAATAATGTTCTTTCATTACGTTCACAGAAAGATGTGTCGAGGAAGACGAAGAAAAACAGTCGCAAATTGGAATTGTGTATCCATTTTATTATATTCGTTTCCTTCTTTCTAGCGACTACAAAACAAACAAATCTGTTTTGACTTGTGTTCGAAAAACTATACGTTGCGTTCTGACCACTATCGTACTATTTTCTTAACAATATTATTGCAAGAAAACCCGTATGTTGCATTTATATGTAAATTGTAAATATTTGTACACTATCAGTGACATCACAGCAACATGTATGACTGATTACATGCTTTATTTAAGTCCAGATTAAAGATGTATGAATATAAGATGACGCTTATTCATTCGTTTATTTAAAACTTGTGAGAAAGCAGCAAAGTAACAGCTAGAATTTTCTTTTTGAATCACAAGATTATGGGTTCTAGACTACTTTGAAAGTATTCGATTTATCCTGTCGAATTGTTACGAGAGAAAGAAACACGAAAAGTAATAGTACAACATTTGTTAAGAGTTTATTTACTTATTCTGCCAGCTGCTTCGGCAGCCTTTTTGTGGGATAAAAACTAGACTATAATCTACCCCTCTCCCAAATTTCATGGCGATCCCTTCAGCCGTTTCGACGTGAAGTAGTAACAAACATACAAACTTTTACATTTATAATATTGGTAGAGTTGGATTATAAAGTGCTGACCCAGAAACAAGACAGATCAAGTGCCTGTCTGTATACGTGATAACTTTCAGACAACAAAGGAGTATTATAGGCGTCTAATAGGCTCCTACAGCCAGTCACTAAACACTAAAAGTGACTGAAGGTTATATTATTTCGATTGACATGCCAGCTTAGTAACTGGAGTTTGTCAAAAGGCCTAAATCACTAGGTCTTAATCCAAAATATCTGAATCAATCTTAACTTTATACATAAATTCCACCAGAAGTAATATATAAAAAATTATGGCGATGTCGGTTATTCTAATTTTAGCCGAAAGTTCGACCTTCAAGTAAAAATATGACCAAGAATCAAAAGAATTGTCACGCACACAAAGCATGGACATGAACATTAACATGAAAAACTTCCTAGCATTTTATCACAACAAATGTAAATTTAATGAATGGAGAATCCCATATTTTTTCATTCACGTATCTAATCATAGTTATATTTTAACTAATTAAAACATTAAGTTTTTAAATATAATCTGTTTTAATTCTATTTTATTTATGGTTACCTCGAACCTTCTATATAAGTAATATAATCTAATATACGAAACTAGCAAACCCGGCGAACTCCGTTTCGCCACCAGATAGCTTCGTTTTATGTAACATTCTTTACTATAACCTCACGAAGCCCGAGACCTTTCCAACGAATGCAAAACCGTGGAAATCGGTTCGTGCGTTCTGGAGTTATAGCGTCAGGAAGGAAAACCTTAGACTTATTTTTATATACAAAATTATTTTCTTTCAGAATTGCAAAAGGTGCTATTTGACCTTAACAATCGTCGGCATCACCCAACTGTAACATAGCTAACAGCTGCAACTTTATGAGTCATACTGCATTCGACTATCAACTACCTTGGACCGACAGGAAATCTAAATCACAATAGATTTAAAAAATAGATGACCATCCCACAATCGATCAATTAATGCTGACATGACATTTTCTAGCAAGTTCCGTATTTTTAGGAGAATACCAATAAGCACGTGACTGTCTGTAAAACGAGATTTTTAGAAGAATGTGATGTATGTAAGTAGGTATCTAATCTTAGTTGTGAATTGCAATATTATGTCAGTTGTGATATCACTGTGTTGTGAAGACAATACAAAATTGATGTGGTACAAAGATAAACGAATAAAGAAAACAAACATGACTGTGTTTTTCTTTATTAGTTTGAGTACAGTGTACTCAATTCCTGTAAATGTTAAACCTATGCAACCGCATTTTATACTTCAATCTATCGACACAGACCTAAAGAGAATTTAACTGTTAACCAAACCTATATGCAACTCCAATCGAAATCGCATCATGGACAACCGTTTATTGAGGTTTAGAACAACAATAAACTCGTTTCCCAGCCTAAAACGTGCAAAGTCCACAAATTCTAACATCATTGTTATTAAATTTTACAACTAACTATAAATATAATAAAATACATTTTGCAATTTCCACATCGTATTAGTCAATGTACTGAATATATTACTAATATCGCAATCCGAATTCCATATCTTTGAACTCTGAACGAGTGAGAATAACAGCTGACCGGTTTGAACTGGATTGCTCATTTGATATTGAGAAGAGACCCAATTATAATATGTACGAGTATTATCATCCATTTGGTTCTACTGTTTTACATGATGACAGTAGGATACAGATCATTAAGCTCTTTGGCATTCGCGCACTGTAAAATATGTTTTACACCGTGTAAAATAAAATTGCAATTAGGTCCACCAAGTCAGAATAGGACGGGGCATGGAGACGTACATGTAAGTATGAAATGTTATGGTAATTACTGTAGGATTTTTATTAACTGCGGTAAATGTGGGTGCGGTAAAGAAGAATGATACGCCATTAAAAGACAAGGCTTTCCAAATAAAACACTAGATATACACATTTGTACATAAGTCAAAGTCAAAGCATTTATTTCAATTAAACCATAATTTGGTTCTTTTGAAACATCAGCAAATACAAAATAAATAATAGTCTGTCAGTCAGTCCGTCAGTGAAGCTAGAATGAATAAAAATAGTAGTGAATCAAATATTCTCCTGCCAATCAATATTCCAACTCCCCATCTTTATATTCGTACAATTCGTGAGCCTTTCATGTTGACCTTGTCAACGCATTCTATCGGTATTGAGCCCTCGTGCCGCCCTTGGATCAAGATACCAAGGTCGAAAGGTGACCTACATAAATCTACATGGATCATATATTATGTTGGTACAACCATCGTGTGCCTTATGGTCATAAACAATTTCCTTTTATGTTTCTGTGCTTTTTATGAGGGTTAGAGGTGACTTTCGTAATAAATTGAAATATCGAAGGGTTGAGACTGGTTTCAGTAAGTAGATAAATAAGGTTATACTACTAAATGCACCTAATCTAAGTAATCTGACTGACAGAGATCAGGCAGCAGTGCTTAGTGATAAAACTGACCACTTTAAATAAATCTCTAACGGCCAACCCCTTATCATTAAGCCTTTGACTGCGGACAGAAAAATATTAAAGGCAAATCCTCCGCTAACGTAGGTCACTGGTGACCCACGCGGCGGTTAACGTGCATCATCGTTTACCATCAGGCGAGATAGTGTAGCGTACCCATTAAAAATAAAAAAAACAAGCATAGAATTAACCCTGCAATTTAGAGAAGTCTCACAGTTCAGCAGTGGGCCCAAAGGCTGTTGATATTGAAGCTGAAGGACGGGATTAAAGCTCCATTATGATAGTACCTAACCACTTAGCTGACTCACCTATGCACACAATCAATACACCTAATGATTGAGCTATCAACTTCAATCTCGTATAATAGAGTGATGACGTCAAAATGTTCTAAGGTCCTTGAACCGATCGATACTTCAGTGGCGGTGTTCCATAGATAAGTAAAATAAAAGAAATTGATGGAGAGTGAATTATTCATGACGATGGTACGATTTTGAGTAACTGTTATTGGTGAACTGAATTGGCAAATTGTTATTGGAAATCAGTAGGTAATATAAAAATTCTTTTTACGTAGTAGTACGGAATTTATATCATTTAAAATGGCTAAAACTCAAGAAGGACTGAACCGATTTAGTTAATTTTGGTCTTCAAATATTTGTGGAAGTCCAGGGAAGGTTTAAAGGGTGCGAAAAGGTTCGTTATGGTATTAAGGTTTTCGGGTCAGCTAGAAATCAATAAAGAGTTTTTAACGACCAGTAGACGACTACAACTTATGACTAATGGAAAATAAAAAAGGTAAGACAGAAACGGACAAATTGTAGAAGACTCGTGTCTGCTTTATTATTTTTTTTTTAAGTTTAGTTGGCTGAAATCATGATGATTTGCATAACGGCTTGCACGATCTACATCGAACAAAAAATTAAGGAAAATCTTAAGCAATATAGTCTAACAGCTGACATTAATACAACTTACACTTCAATCTGAATTCAAAGAAAAATGATCTTAACAAAAACCTACCAAACAATAAGTAGGAAAGATTTTATTATTTAAGCTTTGAATAGATTTCGAAACTATTCGACCTTTCTTTTACAAGTGGAAAACTACCTTTGAGGAAGTAACATAGAATACTTTTTATCCAGATACAGAATCAAGACCTCGCGGGGAGAAATCTTAAATGCATATGGGCGAAGCCGCAGGCGGAAAACCATAACATACCGCCTTTTATACCAGAAGGGAAGGGAAGGCAGAGGTGCACACTTACGACATTTAATGCCACTTTACAATGTAACACCCACTTTCCACTATCTAAAAGGCGGTGACTCTATTGCCTTATACCGGGCACATTTCCAGACACCGTGCTACTACTGACAATTTTTTTAAAAAACCCTGAAATATTACCCGACCCGAGAATCGAACCCGAAACCCCATGCCCGGCAGTCGCACTTGCGACCACTCGGCCAACGACGCTGTCAGGCGGAAAACCAATTTGAATAAAATAAGCCTAAACAATAAAGGAAACATTTCGTTTACCACACATATCTATCGAGCAGGTTACTCATACATACATAATATATACATATATTTAGTAGGACAGCTCCACGTGACAGTAGATATCTACATATAACTAGGTACTACATAGAATCCTTTGTTTTACATAATGTGAATAATTGACCGGGATGTATGTACGTATGATTAAGTAATCAGGTTGCATAATTGAATCAAAGTCAAAGTAAAAATCATTTATTTCAATTAGACAAGGAAGGCACTTTTGAACGTCAAAAAACATTGTAATAAACCTATTTGCTCATTCCAAGGTGTAGATTCCTATGGAGAAGAACGGGCAAGAAACTCTATAGGTTACTCTTTTGTTAATCAGGTTCACAATACAATTTTTAGTTAACGGTAAAATGGGGTGAATAGGTATCGAATGGTGAATAGAGAGGTGAATCGATACTATGAAGAATTTCCCTCTATCTATATACCCCTCTTTTGTCTCTATTCCCCTCTAAATACCTATCCATCCCCTTTTAAGGTACGTTACATAGTTTTGTTGGTTCAATTGTGTGAGAACAATGTAACACCAAAATCCAGGCAGAGATCGAAAAAGAAAATAATGCTGAGGACAATAAAATCGTACAGCCTGTAGCTGAATCGATTAAAAAAAAGTTGAGTACCATGGGAAATTGTTCGTGGATAAAATTCCGCTTTGTAGGACTACAATTAGTTATTAATCTAATGTGTGTTATTACAGATTATACATTTGTCATCACCCTGTTACTGTGATTATCCTAGTCGTTAAAGCGGGGGGTCAAAACATTTTAAACGAGACTACAGGTAATATATATATATATATATATTTGTTATGTTATGAGTCCTAATAAACATAGACACCGGGTACAAATCTAAACTTAGAAAATGGACAGTAATGAATGACATTCCGTACAATTTGCTCAGTAGAATCGAACTTAGGGACTTGGGATTACAGTCGACAACTTATGAATCATTCCTACTTGCGTAATACCTACTTAAATGTTACTATTATATTTAGCGTATCTGTATGAGTATGTGTAGACTAATCTCGAAAACCACTGTATTGATTTTGATAACACTTCACCGAATAAAGATTGACTTGGAACACAAAGTTAATCAATAACAATATATGAAAAGATATTGAGACATTACATTATTAATAATAAGCTCCACTTCATAACTCCAAGCTAGATTAATCTGCCAAGGGCAGACATATTTTGTGTAAACATTTATTTTGCCAGTAATGTCATTTATCAGTACAGAAGAATCAATACAGATTTGAATATTTTAGGCCATTGATATCACAAAACCAATCGATCACACCATCGTCCGATTATTTATCTTATAAGTAAATGACGTAGCCTAAAATGGTAACATTGATAAATATACAAATAAATAAAACATCAATGTTTTATTGATATTTTGAAAAACCGATTCCTCTTCCTCAATTCTGATTTACGCTGTAATCTTATATCTTATACAATTATATAAAGCGGAAGAGTTTGTTTTTTTGTTTGTTTGTTTGAACGCGCTAATCTCCGTAACTACAAGTCTGATTTGAATAATTCTTTTTGTGTTGGATAGCGCATTTATCGAGGATGGCAATAGGCTATAAAACATCACGCTACGACCAATAGGAATTGAGCAGAGCGTGTGAAACCGCGCGGAAGTAGCTAGTATATTAGAAACTCGACAGTTTTAGTCAGCCCTCATCTAGTAATTTAAGATTGACGTGTAAAAGTGTTACTTTGTAGCCTATTTGCAGAAATAAATATCATTACATTTCATTTAGTGACATGATTCCTTGTCTTTAGATATTTTAAGAGATAGGGTCAAACAAATAGACACGTCACTTGATGATAAGTGTGATCAGTAGCATCACTCATCGGAACACGACAGGAGAATTACAAGTGCGTTGCAGACATTTAAAAAAAAAGTGCATGTGGCTAGGGTATTGTCTACATGATTTTATAGTTTAGTATATAAATACAGTAGCTCAGTGAGTGTGAAATAAGTATTAAAACTAGTTGAATCTGGTATAAATGACAATAAGCCTCTATTACATAGAAACTGGGGGAAAATAGGTGTATTGCAATTACACAGGTATTAATAAATACAACCTAATATCAAAGCCATAAAGTCCATTTTCATAGTTAAAACCAAGTAGGTAAACTGTAACGGACAATATCTAGATCGGGGCAACATTCGCAGCTGATTTGCACGTGATTTTCTAGTTCGTAGCGACTCGAGTTGACGCGACTCGAATCTTATCGGGCATGCGGTCAACCTGATTATATTGCATACAAATACATACTATATTTATACGCAACTTGGGGCTAAAATCAATTTACAGTTGCTATGCGTTTGATAAAAGAGTTTTAGTGGGTTTTTGTCGCATATTTTTTTTTATTTCAATTAGGGAACGGTGTCTGGTAGTGGTATTGATAGTACATGGCAACAGATGCTACATAATGCCATGGGACTTATATGTATGGAATAGTGGGTGTATTATTTTAAGAGCAATTCATGGACTGTTTGATTGTCAATGAATGTTATAATGACGTTCCTAAAATCAAAGCAGAACACCTCGAATAAAATCGTATTGCTCCTACTACTGAATGAAAACACGACGATGAAGTAAAATCGTGAAAATCACTTATGAAAGGTAATTAATCCATATTGTAACTTCCCGAGTCTATTTCAGAAACGATATCATCATTTTAGCAACGAAATCCACGAACCAGACGACTATCTATTGTATTTATCAAGCACTCGACAATACCATCACCGGCAGCCGATACAAATTACTGATGACGTCACGCACGACATATCTAATAATATCATATTCACGATTTGGTCTGCAGGAAACGAAACTATCGTTAATCCGACTAAAACTCGAGAACAGCTAGCCCGATTTTCAAAATAAGCTTTCAATATCGAAGAAAGTCAAGGACGAAACCGAAAAGGTCACAAAATATCAGTTATAAAAAGAGTACTCACTCTGTATAGTCCCCGGATCCCTTCGGTCCTGTAGATCTTCATGAGGCCATCGATCATGCCCTTGTACCGTTTGTGCTCAGCCAGATGTTCCCCGCTGTACTGAAGACAGAGACGGGTCTTCACCACCCATATGGGGTTGGTCATCACAAGGGACAGTACTCCAGCTTCTGCCGCAGCCAGCATGTGCAGGCCAGGACCGAGCGGTGTACGCGCATTCCCACCTTGGATCCATGTTTTTATTGCGTTATAACTGCGGACAATACGAAGTACATGAAATGAAATGCAATAATATTTATTGTATTTCTGCAAATAAAATAAATATCAAATGATATTGTGGTTTTTCATTTATTGAACACCGTGTACATATGAGACCGCAATCTCGTAAAAAGACAATGAAAATGAAATGGGTTAAGTATGATTGTAAAGGACTTTTTGTAATAACAGAAAAAAGGTCTAAAGTAAACTTTTAATAAGCTGAAGTTGTCGTTAGTTAAAAAACATAGCTACAGCTAAAAATGTCCTCTAATACACTTACAGTGCTCTTGAAAAACTATAAGTAACTACAGCAAAACGATAGAAGAATTCTAAATCGAAATTAACCCATTAAACGCTGACACGTATGTTTGTTTTGGCAGTTTTCACAAAGGGGCACGTGAGCTAACGCATATGTGGATTTTCATGCAACACCAACGCGGATGAGGAAAATTAGAGGTTAGTGGTTAAGGAGGATGCTTAAACGACAATATAGTACCTAATATTAAATGACTGATCAAATCCATGACATTTTGATTTTGAAGAGGTAAGTAAACCTCTGAATGTGCTAGAATGTGAATGTGAACATCTAAAGATTTAAATAAGTCATGATTCAACACTAATTTTATAGCTCCACCCAATCATAATAGAGACCTTAATTTAGGCTAGCTTCCAAAAAATACAAAGAACCTATTACTACTACTTATGGTTGAAAGAACGAAGGGCATTATGACGTACATCAGATACGTACCTAAGTGAGAGTTGACACAATGCCAAATTAGACATTCCGAATCAAATTGCAATGAGTAAGTGCATTTGTGTTCTTAAATGGGAGTTTCTGCAGACGACACGCGTATGGAGAAAATGAAAATGAAAAATGTATTACAGTGATTGTACTTAGAGTTACAATTATATATGAGTTATTCAATAAGGCGTCATAATGTCTTCGAGAGATGTGTAACCGCTTGAATGCCCGTATATAAGACACAATAGAAAATACTTTGTGTCTCGCGTGGATCCACGTTTAAACATACGACGGGTTAGAATATACAGGACTAGCGACCCGCCCCGGTTGCGCACGGGTGCAATATGCATACATGTATTATACATTTTTTTTTTTTAAGAATCACTATCTATTAAAGCCGCATCAAAATCCGTTGCGTAGTTTTAAAGATCTAAGCATACATAGAGACGGACAGACGACGGATAGCGACTTTGTTTTATGCTATGTAGTGATAAAATAAAAGGTACATTTTTAAACATTCTTTGAGTAATTTTCTGGTAAATATTATAGCATTCTAGCTGTTCAGTGTTTTATACCAAGTAGCATAAATATCCGCAATGTGGCTAGTAACCAGTGATGAAGGGTAGAGAGCTAATGATCGACGACAGTGGTATGTTATTGGAGACGTAGAAGAAGACAGGCTGATGATAGATCTCAGCGTCTACCAATTCAATTTCGAGGACAGTACAACTTCAAAAAAACAATTAGCTAATATTACTGATCGCCAATCTTGATAGGCTTACAAAAACGTGTTATCTGATCTGATCAGATTGGCAGACGCCGATGAAAATTACCAGCGATCGTAGAGAGATCGTAGGCTAATTTTAACACCGATATGGAGACGTAATCAGGTAAACAATAGGATTAAAAGTTTTAAAAATTATCACAATTTCAACCTTAAACTCACTAATGACAACTTGCAGAACAACGTAAATTCAGGGACACAGGAAAAATAAACTATACCACATGCAGCCATAAATTATCTAAACAACAAACATCGTAGGTAATTAAACAGGTGATAAACATTATTTGCAGATAGCCACAAAGATTTGTAGTATCTGGAAATATTTAGCGTAACAATTGATTTGAGACAACGTGATCAATATTCACGTTTTGTGACGCCATACATTTCAATACTTGCATTATTTACCTTAGCCATATGAACATATTAATGCACTATATACCGTACTTACGTACCTAGTAACATGTGGCTTTAAGTAGATGCAAGTACATTTGCACTATACGTCAATTTATTCCATAAACAAAGCACTTGGTTGCAATTTGCATCAATAACAAAGCGCTATCGTTTAAATAAAATATTTAAAATAAGAAATCTGCATAAGTATAAAATGTTTACAACGTATCTATATTTTCTTTTGCTTTCGTTGTTTTAGACATCAAGTTACTTCCATTGCCATTCCAGACTAAACGTAACTGTTTTGTGATTCGGACACATGAATTACTCTGATTAGATTAGTTTTTCAGTTCATTAATATTATGTTTTTTTATGGCATTAAGCCGGTAAACGAGCAGAGGGATCACCTGATGGTAAGCAATCGGCGTCGCCCGGCGTTACCGGCGGGGATTAGGAGCTTGAGGATCGTTGGGAATTCAGGGATTGGGGAGATTGGGGAAGCGGGGGTAATTGGGCCTCCGGTAAACTCACTCACGCGACGAAACGACGTCGGTTTTCTGTGAGGCCGTGGTATCACTCCGGTCGAGCCGGGCCATTCGTGCCAAAGCAAGGCTTTCCCACACTTAAAAATATGTAAAACTAATCTGAGGTTAAACACAAGAATTGCTGCCTTAAAGCAAGTTAATGCAACTAGTTACTTCCGGAAATATACCACAAATAGTACGACCATGATACAAGACAAGTTAGTTCCTATCACACACAGACTACATTGTACGGAAATATTTACTTCAACAGACTTCCCCTACATTTATCGACTATCAATATAAAGATTGATACCAAATAGATCGTAATAAGTACATTTACGGTCATAAAGTCATAACAATTATTTTATAGTTGCAACAAATCGTTCTTCAATGAGACATTCAAACAGAATGCTTATGTAATAACAATGGAGAAATATTATTTATCGCTATCGTTAATTACTTTGATTAACAATGAGTAACACGTGCGTAGGAAAGATCGTGAATTACAGTTTGTATGTGATAATTTGCGAAATGAAAGGCAACGTGGAAAGAGGTGATGACTTTCCGCGAGGTTGTCTATGATTTACGGCCTTACGTTTGATTCAACCTCTTTATATGGTAATATTGTTTGTGTAGGTATGTGTTGTTTAACTAATTACTTTATGTTTATGTTCGAACAGTTTATTACTCGTTTTTATTTGACATTTATTCACTACTAAATATTTTTAAGTATTTTGCCAATTAAATAAATCTGTACGACTGCACATAATAATAACGCACAACTTAGATAATATTTTCGTCTGTAAAGATTTGGTTTACTAACTCTTATCTTATTGGCTTTATCTGCTACGTTCAGTTCAGTGGGTCTATCTCAATATTTACATAAGCGCGATAACATGGCAATCTTTTTGCATGAAATCGTAACAATTACGACCTCCTTAGGCGATTAATTTTAACACAAATGAGGTGGTAATGCATCAAGTTCAAACTTGATAATAACTGTCGCTCGGAAATTTAAAATTGAAACTGGCAATTGAGAAGTTCTAAATTCAAATGTGAGTGTTTGACAATCAGTGAAACTGTAGCGGAAGGGGGCGGGCAATACGCTTCCATTTTAACGAGCGAACTTTGTACCAAATCATGAATTTGGAAATCTTGCCAATTTCCAACACGTAGACAGCTCATGAAAAGTGATGAAATTCTGTCGATTATAATAAGCACAATTATTTTGTAGACAATTTGTGCAAGTTCTATCTTCGAAAATGCAAAAAACAGTTGCCTGCACAAAAAGGAACAGATATAACCTTTTTGATTGCAGAGAAGAAAACTATTTATGGGGTTCCTAGCCCACTGGTACACAACGTAATAAGTACATAAAGTTATTACAGTGTTGATCTTAGGACATACACTTATGTAAAGCGAGGGAATTTTAAATAAACATTGACGTAACTGTGTACACAATGTAACAAAGGCATAATGCACGTGCCAACCGCTAGTAAAGAAGTTTCAAGATTATTTTTCTTGAAATTAATTTACAATACACACTTCAGTTTATTGGTCTGACGTGGTCTGACGCGTTGGAGGGTTAACCGGTCGATGACAGTCATTGTTCCAATGTTTCTTCTTCAAGACTCAGTCATTATTTACATACAACATAAATCTTCGACCAGACATTGATGGGTAAACCCAACGTTTAATCATCGCGAATTTTGGGAAACCGCTTATAAAATATGTGTAAAAAAATTAAACAATCACGATAAACTGCGAGTATCAAAGAGACCAAAATCTACACTAGCGCCACCACTTGCGAATTATAGCCCCTCATTAGACAATTTCCCTACATCATACACTTATCTCTTACTTAAATTATATCATGACAATTTCTAAGTTACACGAGTTTGGACGTCTGCCGAAAATTGGCTAGGCTTGCTAACTTGAATCGCGTAATATAAAGTACAAGGGCCAAACTGGCGTCAGTACAACGTATGTATGTTTGACGAGATAACACACCTCTAGCCACGTGATAGATATATAGGTGTTGAACAGTTATCATTCATGTGTTATTGACTTACTTTAAAACGTGTGATGTTAATTTTCTATACCCCCAGCTGCGTAAAATAGAAGACGGGTGTCGAGATATGGGAAAATATGTTACGTTAAATCGTAACACATGCAAGATTTATTTTAAAATCCCGACGCAAGAAGGTGGTGGAAGAAGAGGTATGATCATTGTGGGGTCACTCTCCAAACCTTCTTTCTACAACACCCAGAAAAGGTAACTCATAACATATGTGCTGCATGATTAAAAATGCCATTCCAAATACTAACAAGCACCTATTAGAAATATTTTGTAGATTTCAAATACAGATTAAACCTCAGTGTCTCTATTTTATACATAAACCATGTCATATTCAACATTATAACTTTAACAACAATAAAAGAACTTGTTTACAAACTTTTAAAAACAATTCAATTACTTATTAAATGTATTATTTAATCAACTGTTACGAATCAACATTAGTGAAATCTGGCAAACAATAAACATTAGCGTTTAGTGGCAATTAAATAACAGTAACAATAAATTTGTCACCAACAGTGTTCTATTTATATGAAATAGTTTACTAATAGTGTTTGCGTTACTAAGTACACCTTGGTGATTAGGTTGTAGTTAATTCTCACTTATAATGTGTTTTAAACAGGCATGTTTTGCCAATTAACTCATCGAGTATTGCCATTATAGACACAATTATAGAAAAATAGGTTGCGGTCACCGGTGACCGCTTGGTGTTTGACAGTTAATAATCTTTGTGGTGATTGATGATTCTAATCTACACCTAAGGCCTAACATGTGGATATATATAATGATAAGACACTGTAACAGCGAAGTGTTACAACTAAAATCACACAAACACAACATGTTCTATCCCTGAAACCATGAATCCAATATGAAAGACATCTCAGTACCTATTCCTGAGGATTAACTACTTTGTTTTATTATGACACGTCTACACAAGAAGTAGACAACTAAATCTCTAAGAAAATGATCAGAATAATAAAAAAGTACTTACAATAAAAAGTAGAAACCCCATGCGGAGCCTGATCCCCAAACGTTAGGTGTGACGCCTCTATACAGTCCTTTCACTCCCTCCTTCTTAACAATAGTGACAAATGCACTCCCGAGCCCATCATACCTAGGAACTGTTGCGGTCCTGCCGTCATTAACTGAAACAATAGAATATGGTTACATTCATGTTCTTGGAGAAACTTGCATTACTTTGTCAATGAAACCTTCAAACTGAAACTGAATAATCATTTATCAAGACATAGACACAACTTCCTCTAATTTTTTACCTTTTGGTGATCTTTCTACAATCCCCAATTAACTCGTCGAGTACCGGTTTTGTAGACACATTATAGGTTGCGGTCACCGGTGACCGCTTGGTGTTTGAAAGTTTAATAAATTACTATACATACTAGTTTAGATCTACTGATTTACCCAAATTATTGTAGGATTAAGATGGTATGTCTTTCCTATATTTTAGTAGTGAAGACAAAAGCCTGATATGTACCAATGTGGGATTTAGCAATGTGTTATCAAGTCAGGGATAGGTATAATATAATTTAAAAATATTCTATTCACAATATCTAAACTCTTACATGAAAAGATAATCTTAACGACACTGAACACTGTTACAAAGAATTTTGAAATAGGTAACTAAGTAAAATAAAATGAGTATGAAGATGATTATCTTGATTTCCTTTTTATTAATTTGTAGGGTCCATTATTTCATGAAATAGTTATGTAGGTTGTCCTACACAATTATTTCTATATTTTTTTTATTATTTTCATAAAACTAATGCAGGTGCATTTGTTTTTTGTTTTTTTTTAACTTGCTATTCTCTATTCTGAATTTAATTAAATTCAACATAATTTACATATTAATATTAACATTGTATTTTAATGTTTTGCCAAGTGTTTTTAATGAACAGAATTGTATGATTTTTACATGATACAATTGAAAAATATGTAATATTCATAAATAAATTGGTATGCAAAAATGCCCTTTTATGTTTCCAGTTGTTAGCAAAAGTCATTGAAAAAAAAACATATTTTAACTAGTAGATAAATAAACAGTAGACTCAATGAAATTATATTCTAAGTAATGGTTGTAACAATTACAAAGTAAATGTATCAATTAAAAGAGAAAGTGTATAAAGACACTTTCATCAGAGTTCTTCTGATAGACTCAGGGACTATTTTTCAATGCCTAATTTAATTGCTGTTAAATCAATTAACACAAGTTTTGTGCCATATTTATTTAATAGAAATTACATTAAAGACAGACATCAGAAACAAACCCTTCTATTTTAAGTTTTATCTGTGGTTGTTAGTTTCTAAAAATTCAAATAGGGAGTAAGTTTGATTTTTAAATAAAGGACTATATTCTATACCACAAAAGCATAGATAAGTTTACATTTCATGCACAGTAACCAGTTCAAATATTCAGAAATAGTGAAAGGAATTACTTATTCACATTTATGTTCCAAGAAGTTCTTAATCTATAAAGCATGATCGTGGCAGCAGGCTTGGGTTGCATCATTGAGGAAGTTATCTGTGCAATGTAAACAAAGTGTCTCGTCCTCACTTTCACTGCATGAAGTTCAAGGTTGACATCACCAAAGGTTTATTAATAACTAAAGATTAATTTAATAGCTATTATCAGTCATTCGACACGAACTATAGTGGCATGTTCTCATAAAGTGAATCGATAATATTTAACCTTATAAAATCACGAGACCTCACATGGTAATTAAGTACGTGAAATAAATCTTAGTACTTACCAGCAAATCTAATTTTAATTAAATCCAAAGGGTGCAATATGAGTGTGGAAGTCACGCCACCTGATATACCAGCTACCAGGTGCTCGTACTTGATGTGGCTAAACAATGCCTTAGAAGACGACGAAGTAGGGTTCTTCATTGTAGACATGACGAATTTACTAAATCACAGTTACAACTTTTGATAGCATCTTGTGGGGACCCCGTCAACACCTGCGTATTACCGGCACACACTTTCCCAGAAATCTTTGACAAAACTGAATTTAACACAATCTTCACTAAACATCGTTGCTCTCGTAATAATCCCACGAATTACGTGCGATAAAAAATGAACGATTTCCAGAGTAATTGAACATGCCGTTCCTTTTCCCGTAATTTAACAGGCTTGCTAATTTTGAAAAAGATTATTTTGCTTGTACACGTAAAAACTAAGTAAAATAATGACACTAACGTGATTTTCTCTTCAAACACTACTTTGATGTGATTAGGTAATCAAATAAAAAGGTTTGATAAGATTTCAGAAAAACTTGCGACATAACCTATTCGAAAAAGTTATCTTCGACACGAGCGTAAAAAGGAACAGCAAAAATGACGTCACAAATAGAGATGTACATTGCGAACTTTTGCCTTGTCTTGACTAGTGTTGTAAAACTACCGTATAATTATAAATACTAATAGGCCTGAGCGTTTAATAATACTACCGATATTGTACTAGTATCTTACCAAATACAAATACTATCTTACAGATTTATGGTAAGGTTGGTATTTTATATTTTGATTTACTTTTTTTATTCTATTATATTATAAGCAGTTGTAGTCTATTAAACGAAATATATTTTAGTTTTCGATTGTATACTGATTCTACACGTTTATGGAGTTGATTGTAATCGGCACTTTCAAAAATTTGTAACGTTACTCATTATCTTATATTATTGTGATATTATTCAATACCTTTTAAAAATACCTCAAAGAAGGTGTAACACCAATACTACTTTCGTCTATGACACTTTCAACAGGAAAAAAAATCATATTTACAAAATATTATTATTGTTGTGTTAATATCGTAAGAAACGGTGTATTAGGTTTCTTTAGTATTCTCTAGACTTGACTCCGTGCTCCTTAAAGAGTTGCAAAATATTTAAATGTATTAAAGTTAATTGTATACTAAGTTTATCAATAAAAATAAGGTAGTCTTCACGTATCAATCATACGATTGTAAACATATTTTAAAAATGTAACTTAAATTTTTTATACTGCTCGGCGCTTGGTAGAAAATTTTTTTCGATTGCAATGTTTGTAAGAATAATTGATTACCACTTGGTAGAAAATATTACAAAACGGACCAACATTGTTTGTAATGAATAAATCAAATGCCAAAATGCCAAATATTTTCTTCGTATATGTACGCAATAATTGAAATACGGCAGCAAGCTAAAATGGTTAATTTTCTTTTTAGTTTAAATTGTAACTGAAAACGAAAATACAAGATATAAAATGAAAGAAATTGGTATTTTTGAAATATTTCATGCTGACAACATTCCTTCTCGCCTTCATCGTTTTTTTGACGTCTCGGAACTATTGCCCATTTATTACGTAAATCTGCGAGCAAAAATTTACAATAGAAAAGGATCAGAATCACAGCAAAAATGTTGAAGGTGGCGAATACTTTGAGATTAATCTCAAGACAGGGCAATCAGGTGCGTTTATTGGCGACAGCCGCTGGTTACAAAGAGGCGTTAGTTAACGTTCCACCAACAAAACTCTCAGTGTTAGATAATGGAATCCGCGTTGCGTCTGAAGATTCCGGTGCTGCGACCGCCACCGTAGGACTGTGGATTGACGCCGGATCCAGGTACGAACACTACAGAAACAATGGAGTTGCCCATTTCCTTGAACACATGGCGTTCAAAGGTACAAGCAAGAGGTCGCAAACCGACTTGGAGCTTCTCGTAGAAAACATGGGTGCCCACTTGAATGCTTATACGTCTCGGGAACAGACCGTGTTCTACGCTAAGTGCTTAGCCAATGACGTACCAGTCGCCGTAGAGATCCTTGCTGATATCATTCAGAACTCGTCGCTCGCAGAACCCGAAATCGAACGAGAAAGAGGTGTTATTCTGCGCGAAATGCAAGATGTCGAAAGTAACCTGCAAGAAGTTGTTTTCGATCATCTCCATGCTTGTGCCTTCCAAGGTACACCTCTAGGCCAGACCATCCTTGGACCCACCAGGAACATTAAGAAGATCTCCAAATCTGACCTTCAAAACTACATCAAGACTCACTACCAGCCTGCCCGCATTGTTCTTGCTGGAGCTGGCGGTGTTGACCACCAGAAATTGGTTGACCTTGCCAACAAGAACTTCAGTGGATTGAAAAACACTGTGACTGATGTCGAAGTGACACCATGCCGTTACACTGGCTCTGAGGTCAGGGTACGTGATGATTCCATGCCTCTGGCCCATGTTGCTATTGCTGTTGAGGGTGCCGGCTGGACCGATGCTGACAACATTCCTCTGATGGTGGCCAACACTTTGATCGGCGCTTGGGATCGCTCTCAGGGTGGTGGTGTCAACAATGCCTCCTACCTGGCTCGTGCTGCCTCCTCTGGCAACCTATGCCACAGCTTCCAGTCCTTCAACACATGCTACAAAGACACCGGACTTTGGGGCATTTATTTTGTAGCTGAACCTATGCAGTTAGAAGATATGGTGTACAATATCCAGAAGGAATGGATGAAGCTCTGCACCTCTGTTACCGAGGGTGAGGTAGAGCGTGCCAGGAACCTCCTGAAAACTAACATGATTCTCCAGTTGGATGGTACCACCCCAGTGTGTGAAGACATTGGTCGCCAAATGTTGTGCTACAACCGCCGCATCCCCATCCATGAGCTGGATGCCCGCATCGATGCTGTGTCTGTCCAGAATGTGCGTGATGTGTGCTACAAGTATTTGTATGACCGCTGCCCAGCAGTTGCCGCCGTCGGACCCACTGAAGGTCTGCCAGACTACACTAGGATCCGCGCTGGAATGTACTGGCTTAGGGTGTAAACAATTGTAGTCATACATTAGTAACATTATTTAAATCAGTTAAGATCGGAAAAAAAAGCATTAAACACTTTTCTCCCAACGTCTGTCGTTTTATTGTAATAAAACACATTGTCTTGGTTGAATCTGTATTTATTAATAGGAGAATAATAAGTAATAAATGTGTAAATAAACATGAGTTTTTGTATTCTCTTATTTTTTATTTCACAATAAATTGACATGAATATTATGAAATTGAAATAAGAATTCAGTGATCAAGTGTGTTGATTCAAATTGAATAAAAAATCAATCATGTTGGCTATGCTAGTAGGTACACCTTGAATCACATTACATTACAGCTCCATTAAAACATCCATATTTCACAATGAAACACATTCTCCAAATAATACAGACTGTACATATGCCATTAAACCACTAATATAATATTTGATAAAGTAATGTTAACTTTATATTCACATCGATAAATTAATCCATACTTCATATCTTTCTATAGATAAATAAGCACAACTTGTAACAGAAGTTTGAGAGACAAGATGTATTTGGTCAATAACAATAAACCTTTGAAAATAAACATTTAACAAGGCAAGAGGGATAATATAATCTCTTACATAGATACTTTAGTATAATACAGCTTCCGCGCGGGTTCTCCCGCTACTCGACTCCTATTGATCGTAAGATCGTAACATGTGTCCCGATTCCTTCAGCTGTTTTGAGATCAAGGAGTAACAAATAAACATCCAACGTTCGCATTTAAAATAGTAGAATAGCCATCGTCTATAAATTAATACAATACACTGGTCCAAAGAGTACAATAAGTATACACTGGTCTACAAAAAATCCTTTTTAAAGTAACTTTTTTTATAGAACTATGTATAATGAGTACAATCTCTATGTCTATCACGTCTAGATGTTTTGTTATCTGTTAACAAAGTTCAGTGATTCGATCATTTTATCGTATTTTATTGCTTTACATAGAATTAACTATTTCATTTACTACATTTTTAACAAATTATTTTAAAAGTTGCAAGTTTAATCTTTTCATAGGACTTTGAATTGATACTTTAACATTCTCCATAGCTGAGATATATGGCAGTTTGTTTCTATTGATTTTTTGCATGCGATCGATGTAAATAATTTTATATGCATATTTAGTGTGAATTTCAAACTGCTATAACAATTCAAAGTGTTATCAAGTGAATAAGATTTGTACCTATTATGTATTATATTTATCAAAAAATATTTAAATATAGACTTTTTTTGTACAAACTCACGGATTAAGCAAAAAATGATATAATTTCAGGAATTTATCAATTGTCTTTCAAGAATAAGGTCAGTTTAGTTCTATTCAAAACATTTATATATTTTAGCTGTGACAAAATACTTGTCGACCAGTGTAATTATTTAATTCGAATTGTTGAATTGAATTTAATAGGAATTCAGAGATTAGTGCGCTCATACTTTATACAAACAAATAAACATTTGCTATATAACATTTTTGTATAACTAGATAAAGGAACAAATAAGTACCTAATGTTTACAGAGTAACAGTATCTGGTGTGGCTTCAACACCAACTGTAACCTCTTCCTTTTCTTGCACGCTAGTCACACTAGGCTTCCTAACCACGCTAGGTTTGACCTTAGTACCAAACGGATGCACTGGTTCACTGTGACTGATCAGGCTCGCTGAGGATATGAAGACGGAAACTTGTTCTGGTGTCGGACAGGCCACGATCAACGTGTCTTCGTAAGTATATCCTGCGTTTGTTAACAGCTGTTCTATTTGCACGAAGTACCCGACTACGTTGTTCTGCAAAAAAAATATTATTAGCTTAATTAATTCATTTTCACCTTTTTTTTATGGAATAGGAGGCAAACGAGCATACGGATCATCTGATGGTAAGCGATCAACGCCGCCTATTGACACCTGCTACACCAGTGGAATCACAGGTGCGTTGCCGGCCTTTTAAAAAGGAATACGCTCTTTTCTTGTCAACTTAGAGTCAAACAATGGTGGAAATTCTTTAATAAATTCTTTAAGTGTGGAAGACCCATGCTTCGGCACGAATGGGCCGGCTCGACCGGAGTGATACCACGGCCTCACAGAAAACCGACGTGAAGCAACGTTTGCATTGTGTTTCGTCGTGTTAGTGAGGTTACCGGAGGCCCAATTACCCTCCCCTTCCCCAATCTCCCCAATCCCTGAATCCCCAACAATCCTCAAACTCCTAATCCCCAAAAGGCCGGTAACGCACTTGTAACGCCTTTGGTGTCTCAGGTGTCCATGGGCGACGCCGATTGCTTACCATCAGGTGATCCGTCTGCTCGTTTACCGGCTCATGCCATAAAAAAAACTAATACTTTGTCTGTGATCTTCTTTACTTGTCGCAGTAGAGGTCTCGAGCGACAAGACTGGCAATCATTTCATGAATTTACGTAGGTACATAATGATAAAACATGCTATAATAATGTATAAGTATAGGTAGGTACTGTACTATTTTTATATTTAACTAGCTACTTCTTACTCCTATTTATAGTTTTAAATGGACTATCCAACACAAAAAGAATTTTTAAAATCGAACCGTAGTTACTGAGATATTAACGCCTTCAAACAAATTCTTCATCATCATACCACCACGCTTTTTATCCGCGAAGGGTTAGGCAGAGGCACATTACGACACTTAATGCCACTGTACAATCTAACATACACTTTTCACTATTTATGTTATGAGCCCCATGTAATAGGGGGTGGTGAGTCTATTGTCAAATACCGGGCACAATTCCAGACTCCGTGCGGAGAATTTATAAAAAACCCAGTAATACTTTGCCTGACCCGGGAATCGAGCCTGAGACCCCTTGCCCAGTAATCGCACTTAGGACAATTATTCAAATCGGACCAGTAGTCCCATAGATTAACAATTTGAAACAAACGAACAACCTCGTTAGCTTTATACAATAATATAATGATAGGATGGTGTTTGACCACCATCTCACTTAACATATTAATTCTAAGCCAATATTATTCGATTACATTTACAATATTTGTTCTTAACTCGTCGAGTACCGGTTTTGTAGACACAATTATAGAACAATAGGTTGCGGTCACCGGTAACCGCTTGGTGTTTGACAGTTTAAAAGACCACAGTACTCGTTGCCATGAGGAAATAATATCTTACCCTGATAGGTCTGAACAGAATGAACTCTGTTTCCTTGTTAGCAAGGTAGAGTTGCATGGACCGCTGTAATGGAGCGAGGTGGGCCTTGATCTTCTTCTGCGCTTCTTTCACGGCCACAGCTATCTCTTCTGGTGTAGCCCACGGCTGAGACTTTAGCTGTTCTATTGGTGCAAATGCTGTAGCCTGAAAATTTGTGTAAAAAAGTATGGTGTAAAGTTTATACAGAATACTGAATACATACATACATACATAACTTCACGCCTGTCTCCCATGGGGGTAAGCAGAGACTATGGAACGCCAATTACTACGATTCCTACATACATTCTTTCGCTTCATCAACAATCAATGATTGTCAATCATCAATCTTTTCATGCATGCTCGTCGGTTAAGGGTACTTTTAATTTGGCCCTTCTTTAATATATCGCCAATCTGGTCACTATATTTCCATCTAGGGCGCAGTCCGTCTAGTCTAATACTGAATAGTCGAATCAAAACCCATACATAACACTGACTGGCAGATAATACCATATGGCATTAAGTTCGCCTTATGCGCCACTATTTAATCAATTTGTGTACATTAAAGACTAAATAAATAAATAAAAACAACACAATTCAAATTGAAGTCAGACTCTTTCAGAATATCGGTTAGTTATTTTTAATGTAATAATAATAAGTCATGAATTTGAATAATAAACTTGTTTTTTAGATATGTTGTATCTGCTAAATACTGAATCAATTGTGTGGAAAGGCTCAGATATGAATAAGATTCTCAATATCAATAGTTGCAATATTACTGTTGTTTAGAAGTTAATTTTCATTGTATGAATAGTACGCATACTGACTTACCTTCTCAATAAACGCTATCATTGGTCCAGCTAGTATCTCCGTGGCATCCTTGATGAACAGTTCACAGCAACTCTTTAACTGCCTGTCGACCTCCTTCCTTGAGTCCAAGAGATGTTCCCTCACCATCGGAGTACCTTCCAATAGGAACTCTAACAACGCATTGTTAGTGTTCAAAGAAAATATCTGCCTCGGCTTCTGTATCAACCCGTACGCAGCATTCTTTACATTACTAAAGTCCAAAGTCGTCTCCTTCACTATAAAATCTACTTGGAATGGCGCTATCTGTTCCCTAAGAATCAATAAATGCTTGATTTGGAATAATTCACCGTCTATATTAGTGGCGTTGGTCGAGATTTGCTTGGCTGCGTTATCTACGCTTTGGACGCATAGAGAAATGGCTTCTTGAGCTAATCCTTGGAAGACTTTTTTCTCTAGACAGCGGTATAGTCTGGATAGTGCTGCTAACGTCCTTCTTACTCCTGGGTACCACATGCCGTGAAGGTCTGCTGGGGAGGCTTGTGGTCGTTTCTGGGCTTCAACGTTTATATTCGCTACTTCTTGCGACGTTGCCGAGATGTCAGATATCATTGAGTTCCGCGAATCGCTCCGTTTGAGAGACTGCTCTTGAATTGATATTGCGATTTGCTGTGGAAAGATACACATTTATTTAATAATTAATTAGGAACTATTTATAGACAAGTCTTATATTAAAGTATTATTTTCTATAGTATAGGGGAAATGAGCTGATGGATTTTATTGGTGGTCAGGTCTGCCTGGGTACATCGACTAAACTAGAAGAGTTTCAATCTAAAATCCAGTCGAAATCTCGTAGCAGTAAGGAATTTATAATTATATCTCAGACCCAGACTATAGTAATAGGCTCACTCCATGCAAAGGATTTGTATTGACAGTATTTTCTATATTATCATACGTGCATCACTGCATGGGATCCCACTGAAAATCAGTGCTGGGTGATTTGTATGCCTGGCTTACACTGAGTGGGTGACCCTTTTACCATAGGTATGTTGTCAGCGTCGCTCTTCTAATTCTTCTGTTTCACCTTTATTGTCTTTTTTATATTTTATTTATGCTGTATCGTGCCTGGTGCTGAATAAATGATTTCTTTCTTTCTATTTTTGAGAGCGTCTTTAAAATAGAATAGTTTATTTGAGCATAAGAAGTGTGTAAGTACGTAAGTGCGTTACCTCCATCATGATCAGTTTGGCGGGGTATGCGAGGTCCCCGGGGCCGGGCCGGTACAGCAGGACGTCGGCCCGCAGGTGTACGTGCGCGCGGTACACGAGCCGCTCCTGCGCGTCCTGCAGCAGCGCGCGCGCGCACTGGCCCAGCGCCGCCAGGCGGGCTGCGGGGGGGGATGAGTTGTTAAGTGATGAATGAATACCGTAATTCTTCGCCATCATTAGTTTGTGTGAAATGTCGTGGTGGCCCGGAGGTTTAAGACGCCCACTTCTCATGCATGAGGGTGCGGGCTCGAAACCTACCAACGGCAAGTACCAATGTGACTTTTTCCGAGTTATATGTACTTTCTAAGATTACTTAGACACCACTGACAAACGGTGAAGGAAAAACATCGTGAGGAAACCTGGACTTATAATTTCTAATTATAAGTTTGAAATCGCCAACCCGCATTGAGCAAGCGTGGTGATTAA